AAAAAAAAAAAAAAAAAGAACAAGAAAAAATATCACATTATAAGTACACTGTAATTTTAGGTCATGCCATGTCTTCAGAAACATTAAAATGTAAAAATCATGTAAATCTTGGAATAAAGAAAATAATATAACATCACATTGGTTGAAAGCAAAACTTTGCCTATACTTTTTTGAGGGCTATTTGCATTGTCAAAGAGGATACTTTCAAAGCTAAAATATTGCAAATATTGCTTTTTTAAGGATAAGTTTTCAAACTGGGTACTCTGCTAGGGAAAGGTTTCTGAATCTTGGCAGTATTGACAATTTGGGCTGAATACTTCTTTGTTGCAAGTAGCTGTCCTGTGCATTGTCAGATGTTCGGCAACCTCCTTGGCCTCTCTCCACGCTCTTGATGCCAATGACACTTATTTGCAACTACTCCCCCACCCAACATCCAGCAGTCACAACCAAAAATGTCTCTAGACATTGCCAAGTATCCCCTGGGTAAGTGGCAAAATTATCTCTGGTTCAGGACGACTTGGCTAGTGGGATAGATGTTTTAGGGGCAGTGGCTTTTGTCAGTTAGCATTCAGTTGCAGAGAACAGACCCCACCATAGCTGGCTCAAGCTGAAATGTATTAACAACAGTATTTAACAGTCCACAAAACTGGTCTGTGGGCTGAAGAAACAGACTCTAGGCTGGAGCCTCCAGAAATGAGTTCTGAAGCTATACCACCACTGAGTCATCAAAGGACCTGCTTCGCTTGCCTTGATCTAGGCACCACCAGTCGATGGAGAAGCTGTGATTAGGAAGCCAATTCTGTTAAACCGGGCAGCTAAGAAGCCTTCTGTAGCAGCAGGAGGACAACTTATGCCCAGCCTCTTTCCTTGCTTCACCCACTTCTGAATCCAAGTTCTAAAAGTGCATTTGATAATGCAGCCTGAAACATCCCTAGATTGCAAGGGAGCCTGGAAGAAAAGTAGTTTTTAGGTTACCAGTCTGCAATAGACAGAAGGCATTTTAGAAGGAGATTGGAATGGATATCGAATGAGCCCATTTTTGGTATCTTCCATAGGTTTCTTCCCAGAGATCCTCAACCCACACCAGGGTAACCACCTATTATGGGCAATTGGCGTTGGCTCAAGTGTTCTCTTCACTTCCCGTTTGCTTATTTTATAATTAGCTATTTTCTTCTTTGTCTTTTTCCATTCTCCTCCCTATCTTCTCTCTTATTACTATTCTTTTCATACCCCCTCCCTCTCCCACTCTCTAACTATAAGTTTTCTGAGGACTTGAAGGTACTTCATACTAGGCCCTGTCCATGCGCATGACATGTGAAAAGTCTTTATTGATGAGATGTGAGCTAAGGCCTAGGATAGTCACCTGTTACCATCTGTGTCTCTAGTCTGCTGATGACACTATGGGAATAGATATTTTGGGCCACAGGGTTATATCTTTGAATAATATTGTCTCTATCTAGATGAATAGAGCACAATGTAACATGAAGAATTCCATTGTCTGATATGAAGTAAATGTTGATAAGTAGCTTTAAGTCCAACCAGGTAAGAATCAAACTATGTTTTCTGTCCCTGGGGTGGAGGCCTTCACTATTTAAAAAACATGACTCATTATGGGTAAGAGTAAGTGATTGCTTGCCTGATACATTTTTCTTCCAGTCTGTTCCAAAAACCTCCTAATCATTAATTTAGCTTATGGTATGGGGATTTTGAGCCTAAGTTAAGATTCAGTCAATATCCTTAGGAGAGATACACAAGTCATTTACTCCTTAGTGCAGGACAACCACATAAAATACAGGAGAACCAGTTAAATTTGAGTTTCAAATAAGAAATGATGAATTATAGCATAAATGTTAGTATAAATGTGTAAATGTTAGTATAAATATTGCATGGAACATACTTACACTAAAACATTATTTGTTCTTCATCTGCAATTCAAATTTAACTAGATGTCCTGTATTTGTATCTGACATGAATGAGCTGATCAAGATATTTCTGGAGAATATATTTCTTGAGAAGGACAGGGAAGGAAGAAAACATGAGGGTAATGGACTCTTGAGAGGAATAAAGATGAGCAAGAAAGGAAGAGGGGTAACTAAAAAATTCCATTACTGGCTGGGCATGGTGGATCACACCTGTAATCACAGCACTTTGGGAGGCTGAAGTGGGTGGATCATGAGGTTAGGAGATGGAGATCATACTGGCCAACAAAGTGAAACCCCATCTCTACTAAAATACAAACAAAAAAATTAGCCAGAGGTGGTGGTGCTTGCCTGTAGTCCCAGCTACTCAGGAGACTGAGGCAGGGGAATCACTTGAACCTGGTAGGTGGAGGTTGCAGTGAGCTGAGAGATCACACCACTGCACTCCAGCCTGGCGACAGAGTGAGACTCCATCTCAAAAAAAAGAAAAAAAATCCCATTAATCCCATTGCTAAACTCACCCTAGTTATCAGTGACTATTTGCTAGACATGCAAATGAAGCCCTGATTGGCAGATAAAGACCTATTCCTTCTCTGCAAATGTGGTCACTTTCCTGCAGCATTTGGATCTGTTCCCAGTGCAGCATTGGATCTGTTCCCAATGTAGCATTCAGTTGCCCGGACTGGACATGCAAAGCTTCGAGGCAGGCAGAAGAGATGAGCAGCACAGGCACTGGATACCTTGGAGCCTTGTAATCTTGCTTGCACAACCTCCAGATTGCATGGTTCTTGGCTTCAGTGCAGCTGGGCACAATTTCAATGCACATCTATGGAGACCATGTCACAACAACAAAACAAACCAATGTAGCTGCAAGTTACATTAACAGTTTGAAAAAACAAGTCAACAGACTTGAAGACTGCTGTGGGAGCCCCTCCCTGGGAGTCAGCCTCTGGCAGAAGGGAGTTACTGTGCCTCCTTTTGGACATTTTTTCAGCTAAGATTATTCTATATGATCTGCATCTTGTCCCTTTCAAAGATTTGGTTTGTTTGTTTTTTTTAGAAAACCCTTATTTGCTTTATTGTTAGTCATTGTTAGATCTTCCTGAGGTGTGGAGTGGTCTGTACTGCATGCAAATTTCTCATTATAAGACATGATTTCCCTCTTCTGATGTCACACCCAATGCAATGGTACATACTTTCATAGGCTCTTATGTTACTGTTGGTCAGAAACCTATAGAACCAGATTTTCCAAATCTTCTGATGCCTCAGTCACTGCCTGCTTGCAAATTGGTAGTTAGGAAGCATTTATACACCTTGCAGCAATATCCCATACATCAATTCTGTAGTAATTTGTTAGAGAAATTTTGCTACTTATGGAGTGTACATTAGGGCTAGTAACACCTTCCTTATTATTGAACTAAGAACAAACTGACTTTATGTTAGTGTATCAGGCCCAGGAATATGTGTGGATTGGAGACTTGCCAATATCAGGAACCTCCTGTTCTCATATATTTTTTATTTCTGATTTTTATGAAAGATTTGATTTACATGCCAGTAACATCAGGGTGTGTGGGTGAACACACTGTGAGGAAGCCAGTGAAGAGAAGGAAACTGAAACATTTTGGAAGGGATCTTCTTAGCTGCTTAATGTGATTTCTTTAAAAACAAATGTAAGATATGTTTATTTTGCATCTTCACTTTTTAAAATCTGATTTACATTTTTTGTTAGACTTTCATATTTTACCTCAAAAATTTTTCTCCTACATGTACAGTACATTATAATAATTTTAATTTTTATTTACTGTAAACTTACACTTGTAATAGAACAACAACAACAAAAACAGCAAGGCCATCCTCATTTTCCTTATTTTTCTTTGGTTGTCTTTTTTTTCCCCTTTAAACCCAGCCTCCTCTGACTCATATCCTGGGCTATCTCAATTTGCACATGTTTCCAGAAATTTTTTTAGTTTTTTTCATTTTTATTATTTTCCCTAGTTGTTCTTTTTCCCATTTTCCATTCCTCAACTCCTGTTTCCACATATTCCTCCCCTTTCTCTACCTTCTCTTCCAGTTTCTCTAGGCCTTTGTGGAGAGACACAACCTTCTTTTGCTCTTTTATCACAGAACTTTCATGAAGTTTTGCCCCAAGTCTCCTTAAACTATATAAAACAAAATTGTCCAAGCTCAAGTTAACTCTAGTGAGACATGAAATGACTTGGAGTTGTGGGTGTGAAAGGGGATAGGTTAGGAGCTCTCTTAGGTCCATTCTTCCCTTACGATACCATGATTCCATGAAGAAATACTCTTCAGATTGGTGGATCAGGTAAGCTCTTTTTGTGCATTTAGATCCTCCAACTCAAATATTATTGTTGAACCTCATAAGTTCCACTGAACTGAAAAAACAGACAGACAAAAAAAGCCGTAAGAAGATTTAGCTGTTTTTAGAGAGACCAAAAGATCAATAGTATCAGATGGCCAGAAATCCTTATATTATCTGAGAGAAGGTTAACGCTCAGAAGGGAAAATAACTGTGGTGGGATTAACTCTGAATGCAACTAAAGGGTCTTTCTCTGGCACACCTTGGCTTTTCCCACCAATATGATAACTTTAAGCCCTTCTGGGAAATTAGAGGTCATGGACATCTGCAGCAAGCCATGCTTTCCCTGGGATTTCTGTGGTGAGATTTCATTTCAGAAAGAGCTGGTGCTTTTATAAAACCATGCCCAAATGGGAGCCATTGGAAAGGGAGACTACAGATTTATATACCACAAGTAATAAGCATCAATTTGAATCCACTTATTTTGTCGAGGCTATTTATTTACTTGTTTGTTTCATAGCGCACCGTTTCTGTTCCAGGCACATTGTTAAACAGTGGCAAACAATGGTGAGCAAAGCCAGATATGGTGCTCCCACCTTTCTGGAATATATAGTCTAGTGGGGAAGACAGTAACCACATGACCACAAAAATACATGAAAAATTGTATCAGTCATAAGGGCTAAAAACGGGAAGTACATGGAGCTATTTGAGCACATAATATGTGGGTCTGACATAGTCATGAGATGATAGAAGAAAAGTGAAGGAAGAACAGGACTTACTTGGAGGTTGCAGGTTGGTGTGAGCAGTTCCTGAGAGGCAGTGGCCAAGTGCTGAAGCTCTAGGATAGGAAGGATGGAAATAACAGGCCAGTGCACCTGGAATAGAGTGAGGGTGAGCCAGCCACAGGGGACAATATAAAGAAGGGTAGCAGTGCCAGGTCATCCAGGGGCACAAAGGCCATGTTTCAGATGATTTTGGTCTTAAATCCTAAGAACAACGAGAAGCCTTCAAAATACTTTTGAGGGCAGGCTAGGAAAGGTGATCAAATTTACATGTGAAAAATATTTTACTTTGGCATCATAGGAAACATCACAAGAAGTATTAGAGGACCTCAAACATTTGAAACTGAGATATATTTTTTAAGAGCTGACTTTCATTTTTGGCTTACTTCCTAGGTAATTGTGCACCTTGGACAAATCTTTAAGTTCCTCACAGTCCAGTTATCATTATCTCTCTAATGCCCTATCAACGTTCCAGAGTGGTTGTGAGGCTCAATTGAGGCCATGGATGTGAAAACATATTGAGAAGGGCAGACTGCTAAACAAGTAGACATTATTGAAATTTTTAGGAACCTTGAGGAATTATTATAGAAAAAAAAGCATGAATAGGTAACAGTTTTTGCTATGAATTACAGGGTTGCATTATATTTTTAGCTTATTGAACTTAGGATAGAGTTATTCCTAAAACTGAAATGGTTGCTAAATTATGATAGAGAAGGTAATAATGAGTTTTTTCTTTTTCTCTTTCAAGGGGGTCTTGCAAATGAAATATCATGTGTAAATGAAACTGGATATTTTGATCCCAATTTTTGATATTGCTGTTTTGAGCTTCTTATTTTGACTCCATCATATTTACATTGAGGACATTTTGACTCCTCCATCTACTCTTTTCTCTACCACTAATAACAACAGTACAAATTATAATAGCTATTATTTATTAAGTGCTTACTAGGTACCAGATTCTGTTCTAGGTGTTCTACATGTATTTTTTCTTGTGATACTTTTGATAAGGCATACACTGTTATAGACCTGATTTTACAGATAAGAAAACTGAGTTACAGTCAGGTAGTGAGATTAAGCAACTTGGCCAAAATAATCCAGTCAGTAACATATGCAGTTTACAGCCTACAAAAGTGATTAGAAGTATCCAAACCACACGACTGGCCAACCGTGAATGACAGTTCAATCCTGGATTATTTGAGAGAAATTTCTCACTATATTATCATAAACCAACAGTTCTTTCTATTCAATAATGAATATTACAGAAATAGATAATCAATAAGGAATCCTTAATTATTGCTGGGAGCAATCATATCGATTAGTTATAACAATTAGCAATTGAAATAAAATGCAGCACATCAGTAGAAAAGGCAGCTTGAGAATTGTGAGTCGGAATTATTCTACTGTTTTAGGTCAGCAATTCTATGACATACTATAAAAGAAGGAAATTTTCTAATTATGTAGAATGAAACTTTTTTTAAGTTCTGGGAAACTGATTTGCAAATCACTTTCATGCATGTTGTTTTACTCGTGTATGTTAAATCTAAACCTAGGCAGTGAAGCCTAGTAGTAAGAGGAAGCCGCTGGCGGCTGACTGCTTAGATTCAAATCCTTGCATTCTCATGTATTAGCTACAGGACCTCCAAGACCTTGGGAAATTACTCAACCTCTTCAAGCTTTGGTTTCCTCGTTTCTAAAATGGGGATAACAGTCCTACTTCACTGGACTTTAGTCAGGATTTTAGTCAGGATTAGATGTCATAACACATCTAAAAATTTCTAATTATTATTATGCTAGCTATAGGGGAGAATGTTCTGGCTTAATCCAAATAACTTTCATTTTAATATATAGTTGGTGTCTTGAGAATGTTCTGTCCCGCCTAAGTTGTTTAATCTTTATGTCCCTGTTCTTCCTAAAGGCCTCTGAGACATCTGTGGGCTGTGTGTGTGCTTGGCATGACCAAGATTAGAAAATGGAAATATATTGTGGATCTCTCTACTTAATATGGCTGATTAGGCCGGGGACGGTGGCTAACGGCCAAACTCAGCCACACTTTGGGAGGCCCAGCAGGACGTGCTTGATCCCAGGAGTTCAAGAGTAGCCTGGGCAACATGAGGAAACCCCATTTTTAAAAAAAAAAAAAAAAAAAAAAAAAGCCAGGCCTGGTATTGCGTGCCTGTAGTCCTAGCTACTCTGGAGGCTGAGGCGGGAGAACCACTTGAGCCCCGGAGGCTGAAGCTGCAGTGACTCAAAATCTCACCACTGCACCCCAGCCTCAGAGACAGAGCAAGACTAGGTCAAAAACAAAACAAAACAAAACAAAACAAAACAAAACAAAACAAAACAACAAACAGGCTGACTGGAAACAGCTAGTGTGCCCTGCTTTCACAGACAGAAGAAAGTGGTAAGTAGATACTAGCTCTTTAACTGATCATCCAGGTGGACTTTGGGATTTGGCAAGGAAGCAACGCCATCCACGGAGAAACAGAGATGAGTGAGACAGGACAACTGCCCACCCAGAGCGGCACGGAGCCAGGGGAGGCCCCCACCATGGGGAAATGGTGAGTGCGTGAGAGTGCCTTGGGACCCACACTTCTGCCAGGGGACCTTTGCAACACTGGGCTCAGGAGAACAGCCATGACCTTTCCGAGTCGGGGCCTGCAGATTTACACGGAGAGCTAGGTGGAGTCTGGGCAGAGCCGCCACTCAGGTGCATGCAGAGTGCCGGGGGCCTTTGATCTCAGGGCACCCTGACACCAGTGGCTGCAGTTCCGGCAACCAGGAAGGCCAGGCTCTTTCCCACACCACCAGGATAGGGACCAAACCCACGGGGCTATGCAGCAAACTGCAGGCCTCACCTCCACTGCACCTCCTTGGACAAAGTCCACTGGCCTGGGACCTTAGCGTGGCCACCCAGCGCCAGATGATCTCTCAGGCCAGTAGCGGCTCTGCGCTTCCCTGGGACCGAGCTCCCAGAGGTAGCAGGCAGTCCGCCATTTTCGCTGCTCCACAGTGGTGCCTCCTGTTGCCCTCAGGCCCCCGAGGGAGCACAGCTGCCTTACGGAAAAGCGGCCAGATTGTCTTCAACAGGGGACCCCAGCCCTGATCTCCCTCACTGGGCAGAGCCTCTTGGCCTGGCACTCCAGCCACATCTTGCTTGGACCCTTGGGCTGGTAGCAGTTCTGCACTTTCCTGGGATGGAGCTCCCAGAGGTAGCAGGTGGGTCGCCATTTTCGCTGCTCCACAGCCCTGGATTCTGTTGCCTTCAGGCTGGGGAGTGCAGTGACTAGGGACTCAAGCGGGGCTCCAGCACAGTGCAGCTGCCTTGCAGAAAAGCAGCCAGACTGTTTTCCATGCGGGTCCCTGCCGCTGCTACTTCTCACTGGGCGGGATCTCTTGACCTGGGCCTCCAGCACAGCCACCCTGCCCCCGGCTTGAACACTTCCATTAATGGCGGCTCTGCCTTTCTCTGGGGAGGAAATCCCAGAGAAGATCCACAGTCCCTCTGTCACTGAAGCTGCAGTGGTCAGCAATTCTGGTCAACAAAGAATTGCTGGATGTTGCAGCCACTATAGAGAGAGGACCCCAGTCTCTCTTCTGTCTGACGCCTCACCTCCCACCCTTTACCAGGTAGGGCCTCCCAGCTCGGGACCACAGAGCAGCCATCCCACTCCCAGCTAAGCATTCTCACTGGTGGTGGCTCTGTGTTTCCCTGGGGTGGTTTTTTTTTTTTTTTTTTTNAAAAAAAAAAAAAAAAAAAGTTATCCAATCTGGACATCCTAGTGACTTACTTTTATAAATAGAATTGTCAGAAGTAACATTATGTGACTTCTGAAACTAAGCCTCACAAGGCTTTGCTGCTTCTTCCTTTGTCCTCTTGGATTGCTGCCCTGAGAAGGGACTTAAGGAAAGTCAGTCCAGTCTCCTAGAAGATGAGAGGCCACATGGAGAAGAAACGAGGTACCCCAACTGATAGCCAACAGCAGCTTCCAGACTTATGAATGAGGCCGACTGCCAGCCCAGGCAGATCTTAAGCTGAGTATAGCTATGCAAGCAAGCCTTGGCACATTTGTCCGAGGAACCTTCAAGCCAACCTACCCAATTAGTTGCTATTGTTATGATGTTGTAAGTTAAGCAGCAAAAGACAATTAAAACAAACTTTGTTATAATAATTTATATAAAGTATAGCCTCGAACTCATTGCTTCTCAATAATATCAAAAGCTTTATTTCACAAATTATTGTTGATGACATCTTGGAATATTTTAGAATAGTGGCATTTATGTTCTGTATAGACACAACTTAAAACAGAATTACTGACCCTTTTATTGTGGAATCAGTCACATGCCCTGTGCACTTGCTTCATATGTCTATCCAACACAAAAAAACACATAATCTGTCTAAGTCAATTGCCTGTTGTTTTAACAGAACACCTGAAATTTGGTAATTTATAAAGGAACCAACAGCCCCATTGCCACTGCAGTGGTTTTGCCTTTGCCGCCCTAGGAGTGGGGAACGAACAAAGAGCTTGCGGGATTACTTGTGGCACCAGCATGCCACAGTCACCATATGGAGTCACCCACTCTGTGCTCCCTGTGAGCCCCCAAACGCCTGCTCTTCACCAGGTATCCTCCACCTTGAGCCAGCAGCACAGCTGCCCCACAACCCATGGCTGAACATTCCCATTGGCAGAGGCTCTGCATTTCTCTGAGGTGGAGCTCCCAGAGGCAACTGAAAGCCCCTCTGCCACTGCCACTGCAGTGGTACTACTTCTGCTGGCCTTGGACTGGGGAAGGAAGAAAGACCCTAAGTGCTTTACCCACACCTCCAGCAAGCCACAGTTGCCCTAAGGAGAAGCCAGTCTGTCTCCCTTATGAGCCTCCTGCACCCCCCTGCTCATCATCAGGTAGGGCCTCCTGGCTTGAGCCCACAACATAGCTGTCCCACCCTGGACTGATTGCACCAATTGGTAGTGGCTCTGTGTTTCTCTGGGATGGATCCCCAAGAGACAAGGGAAAGGCCCTCTGCCACAGCCACTAACAAGTTCCCTTCCCCTGCCGCCTCCAAGCTGAGGAGGAAACATCAAACTTGAGCTGGCTCGAGGGCTTCAGTGTGCAGCCCAGGAGTGCCAAGCCAAAATCTGCAGCCAGCACTTGAGTGGAATAGGAGCCCACACTCTCAGAGAATTGAGAGAGAGCACAGCTGCAAACATGAAATACAGAGGAACCATGTGACTGAGCAAGAACCTACTCACTGGCCATTACCTTTACTGCTATCTACCAGATCACAGTCCAAAGTGTAACATCGAAAATACAACCCCTCATGCAACCAAGGACAAGAATTCAGCTAAAAATAAAGACCCTGCACAAAGCTTTGGCATATTGAAAACATTCAGAAATGAAGTCAACTGATTGTATTTAAATTATACTACAGTTAAGGAACATTAGCTTACACAGATGAGAAAGAACCAGTGCAAGAACTATGGAAACTCAAAAAGCCAGTGTCTTTTTTCCTCCAAATGATTGCACTAGTTCCCTAGCAAGGGTTCTTAACCAGGCTGAAATGGCTAGAATGACAGACATGTAATTCAGAATATGGATAGGAATGAAGATCATTGAGATTCAGGAGAAAGTCAAAACTAAATCCAAGGAATCTAAGGATTACAATAAAATGATACAGGAGCTGAAAGACAAAATGGCCATTATAAGAAATAACTAATCTGATAGAGGTGAGAAACACAATACAAGAATTTCATAATGCAATCACAAGTATTCAAAGCAGAGTAGACCAAGCTGAGGAAAGAATCTCAGTGCTCAAAGACTGGGTCTTCAAATTAACTCAGTCAGATAGAAATAAAGAAAAAAGAATAAAAAAGAATGAACAAAACCTTCAAGAAATATGAGATTATGTAAAGAGACCAAACCTGTACCCACCCAACAGGTTCACATTGCCCGCTGCCTAAACAGAGCTGATTTATTAAGACAAGGGAATTGTAATAAAGAGTTATTCACGCAGAGCTGGCTTTTTTTATGATTTGAGATTTTTATTATTACTCAAAGCAGCCTCCCTGAGAATTCGGGGATCAGAGTTTTTAAGGATAATTTGGTGGGTAGGAGGGCCAGTGAATCAGGAATTCTGATTGGTCAGGTTGGAGATGAAATCATAGGGAGGTGAAGCTATTCTCTTGTGCTGAGTCAGTTACTGAGTGGGGGCCGCAAGACCAGATGGACCAGTTTATTGATCTAGGTAGAGCCAGCTGATCCACCGAGTTCAGGGTCTGCAAAATATTTCAAGCACTGATCTTAGGTTTTATAATAGTGGTGTTATCCCCAGGAGCAATTTGGGGAGGTTTAGAATCTTGCAGTTTCTAGCTGCATGACTCCTAAACCATAATTTCTAATCTTGTGGCTAATTTGTTAGTCCTACAAAAACAGTCTATTCCCCAAGTAGGAAGGGGATTTGTTTGGGGAAAGGGCTTTATCATGTTTATTTCAAAGCTACACTATAAACTAAGTTCTTCCCAAAGTTAGTTTGGCCTATGCCTGGGAATGAACAAGGAAAGCTTGGAGGTTAGAAGCAAGATGGATTCTGTTAGGTCAGATCTCTTTCTCTGTCTCAGTTATAATTTTGCAATGGCAATTTTAAACCTATGACTCATTGGTGTCCCTGAAAGAGAGGTAGAAAAAATATGCAACTCCTAAAACATATTTGAGGATATTGTTTACAAAAATTTTCTCCACCTTGCTAGAAAGACCAACATTTAAATTCAGGAAATGCAGAGAACCCCTGTGAGATATATGATACAAGATGACCATTTCCAGGACATATAATCAGATTCTCTAAGGTTGACATGAAAGAAAAAATATTAAAGGCAACTAGAGAGAAGGAGCAGATCACCTATTAATATAAAAAGGGAATCCCATTAAGATAACAGCAGAATTTTCACTAG